CTGGGAGCTTCTTGTCACAAGTCTCCACACAGTGAGCTGAAAAGAAAGATACTGTGTGTAACACCAGATCTATGAAACCTTGGTCTAGCTTCTGCTATGATATTTTAACAGAAGTTGTGAGCCCTTATGGTACAGCTGTAAGAATTAAACTTACCTCTGTGCTGGACAACTGCTGATCTGGATCTGAATTTTCCCAGATTTTGGAGACATATTGATCATGCAAACTCCCTGAAACCAGCAGCAAAGGCAAGGAAGCTAAACCTTTCAGCTCTCTACTGGTGTTCTGTTTTGCGGGGCAGAAGAGGGCTTGTTTATTATTTGGTGTGAGACCAGTGCCAAAAAGGGAAAAATGGGGTAACAGCCAACAGATTAATGAGCCTAACAATAGTTCAACACTTTATTGTGAAGCAACAGGAAACTAATACTGAGGAGTAACTGACTCTTCAGGATACCACCTCATATCAGAGATTGTATGGTGCCCTTAGACCAAAAATTACCTAGTCATAACACATTCTTCTGAATCTTAACAGCAATTAATGTATTAAAGCAAATTTGTGTTAGATAATCACTGAAGTGGAGGAACACACTGTGGCTCAGTCATGTAATTCCTTGATTGTACGTTATCTTCTCTTTGTAAAATGGAATAAGAGGTTAGAAGTCCAAAACTTACAGTGTCTTTTGTTACTTGAGCAATTATTCTTTGGCATGCACACTTTGGAGATGCGTCTCGCAAAGAGGTAAGTCAAAATCCTTACAGGACTTACTGTGCATGGGAAAGTGTGGTGAAAATGGAAAATGCAGTAATTTGCATTAATTGCTTGCTGGACTATTGTAATATTGACTGCATGATTTGCCTCTTACATGCTTGCACTGCCATTATGATCTGAATTTAGTGCTACATTTCTTAATATTAGACACAAATTTATCCTGACAGTTTTATAGATAGACACAGAAGTATTTAGTCTTGCAAAATATAATCATGCTCTTGAAATATTTCCTGTTGCTACAGTACATTTCAGGCGGCATATTGGAGTAGCTTAGTCCTGTCTCATCTACTCAACTATGGTCCTCACTTGATGTAGTTCCTCTTTTCAACCTGATTATTGTGCAAGAGGTGTTAATTAGTACTGAATGCTCACTTATCAGTTGTTTACTCATTGAGAATACATCATCTCTTCATAAGCTGTTCATAATTTTCTTATTGGTGTGAATTGAGTTTGTCTTTGACATGTAGCAAATTTTTAGCGGTTTATTTCCAACCACTCTGACAATTTTGAGGGTGAATAGATTTAGCTTGTTTCATAAGTGAAATTACGTATCAGAGAAAAAAAACCCAAAACAACAAACAACAAAGAACAACTCTTTTCAGATCCAAGATCACTTACCTGCATCCTGCAAAATGATTATCAGGTCTGCTTAGCTTCTTGACCAGCTACAGAAGAGGTGTTTGCTATATAAAACATTCAGTTGGCTGTAAAACTTACTTTTCCTTTAATTCTCTCAGACTTCTAAAAGCAAGCATACAGATGACAAGAGCTGGGATGGTAATAAGCTGTTGTGGTTTTTTTTTAATTTCACATAGAAACATAAATCAGAATGTATTATGCCCATAGTTAGCAACTGCAGAGAAGTTCCAGTGCAGTTCAGCTTATGTAACAAAGTACTGTGAAATAGGAGGAAGAAGTCTGCAAATGGAAGCAATGAAAATGCAAAAGGAAATCTTAAAATAACAGTATCTAGCTTTCTGCACCCACTGCACTAATCCAGCATCTGTCTCGTCTCCTTTTCAATCATTGCATGAGTTTCATGGTGTATTAAACTAGTATTCATAATTCTTCTTTTCTCTGTATTTGACTCAACTCCTTGCTATATTGAACAGCCAACTTACAGAAGAAGAACAACATTTAGATAACTTAAAACTTTAAAGACCAGCAAAGATTTAATCTATATGAAGAATAGATTTCAGGGAAGAAAAAGTAATTCTCTGTTGAAAATTACTTCTCTTTTTTTACAGAAACATGCATGTTGTTCAGTGTTTTTTTAGTCATTGAGCTGCCTAGGAGTGTTGCTGAAATAAATAATGACATACTTGTAAAATTTTAGGTACAACCCTCCATGTCTCTTACCCTCACCAGTGAATTCATTGTTTCACGGTTTGTTCCACCTCCTGAGAAGTTGTTTATGTTTGCTAGTCCTGTGTAGCTTCTTTATGCAGGGAAACAGAAAGGCATCCCTGTTCTAAAGGATGAAGAATTTTCCTGCCTGCAGCATAAATGGT